CATCTCCACCCTCCCCTTCAACACCCTCTAAACTGCTCTCTGAGGATCTGCTGGGTAATCACAGATTCAATGGAAACTCCTCTGTGTGAAACCTGGATGCTGCTGTCAATCATGACTCCCTTAATTAACCTGCTGATTCACTTAAGTGAGATGTGACATCATACAAAATCTAACTGCAACCATTTTAAAGTCTTAACAATGAACTCAGCTCCTTTTATAACAAATGGTCCTCACAACCAAAAGATTTTCATTATCTGTTATTTTCCTCAGCTGTGGAAAAAAAACTCAGCCTTTTTATTTAAAATAGGGCCGTCATTCCTCAACTGCAACTCTATATAAACTAAAGCTAGAGGTCAGATTGTAGCTGCAATATGACAGCATGCGTTGAGATAACTGGGCTCCACTCAACTGCAGTATCTCTTCTGGTTGTTAATTCTTAATTAAGTTAAAGGATCTGAATAATTCATTCACCACTGGCTAAACTCCAAGTGAACATGTAAGTTATACTTCCACTGTGTGTAAGTATAAAAGACAGCACACCATGTGTCAGAACCGTATGTATGTTAGTTATGATATAATCGCTTATGTGCAGCCGTGAGAAGCACAATTGACTCTTCCCAAGCCCCGCCCCTTTTTGCTCTCTGCTCCAATAACAGTTGGTCAACTTCCTTCTTTCCTATTGAGTGCCCAAGGGTTCGATTCTAGGACCAATGTTATTTTCATTATACACACGGTGGTGCATTTAATCATTATGCAGATGATACCAGGATTTATCTTCCCAAATTGCAATTAGATATTTTCTTCATATCGTTCAGCCCTTTATATTTATTAATCAGGTTAGTTTCCAGATCATTTAGAGCCTTGTGTGGGTTTTACGGTTTCCCTGTAAGTTAAACAGACTGCAGCAGTGGGTTGTACATGTGACACGGCTCTGCAGTTGTTTTCATCATATTCGTCAAACTGTAGGTTTTTTTATTTAGACTGGTGACAGTATCTCATCTTTAGAGTACCCCAGGGTTCAATTCCAGGACCAATCTTATTTTCTTTATACAGTCTACGCTTCCCCTCGGCCACATTATACACAGACATGGTGTTGAATTTCATTATTATGCAGATGATACCCACATTCATCTCCCCATGAAGTCCCAATAACCTCTCTGGTGCCTGTCTGGATAAATGTCAGCTGATGTGAAAGATTGGATATCTATAAATATGATCATGTCAGCCATCTTGTCCTTTTTAATCATCTTAAAAGTATCTATTCAACCAGTTTTAAGTTTTAAAGAGGCAGAAGTTGTTCCTATATAACCTCAAGACTGGACTACTGTGTATTAACAGGTCTGTCTTTTAACAGGTGTAAACCAGAAATCACTCAACATGTTCAAACTATTATGAAATGCAACTGCTAGACTCTTAACTAAAATCAGGAAAAGAGAACATTAGCCACGTTTAGCATCATTACACTGGCTACCAACTGGTTTTAGGATTTTATTGATTACTTTTAAGTGTCCAGATTAGATATTTCAGAGTTGATCTCCACTCCTCTCCAACCACCTGAGGACCTACTAGCTGTTTAAAAGGTTCTATACAACATTCACTGTCACTAGATGTCAAACTAGAGCACCAAAACAATGGGTGGTACAGCTGACCAGACTCTATTGAAGAAAACAGTTATTTTACCTCACAGATGCTTATAAAACACACTTCAGACTGACCATAAACAAAATAAAACTCATCTTTGTTAGTCTCTCCAACATTCTGGCTTGGTAAAAATAAATCTTTAATAACTGACATATATGAGAAAAACTAAGATCTAGATAATTACAACGATAAATTGGTAAAAGAATTTTATCTTATATCTGTTTCACTGGTTTTTGTCTCTCTATCCTTTTTATTGTTCATTTTGTCTAACACTGGTTTTAAGAAGTGCTATATAAATAATCTGTATTATTACTATTAGATGAAAGTGCCTATCTGCTCTCTAATACTGACCATAACTTTGTACTTTTTAATCCCTGTCCTAAATCCGAAACAGCCTTAAACACAGAGAAACTTATTTCAGTCTCACCTGTTCTACTTTTTGTGGATTCTATTATAAGTTTTAAGCTGAAAAGCCAACAAATCCTCTTCTGCCTTGTTAAATATTCATGCATGAATGAGAGACAGAAGAAAAGCAGTGCAGGAAAAAAAAACCTTTTCTTAATTGTCACATGAAAGAAAAAATATAGTTGTAAATTAAAACTGCAAGAGTACAGTTTCTATCCGTGTGGTATATGGAATCATCAGTAATGTAATTAACCATGCAGCAGATGAATCTTCCTCTGAGAAATACAGATAATGTTTAAGCTTCTTTGTAATCAAGCTGCTGGTGTTAGAGAGCACATATCTGCACACAGATTGCTGCCGTGTTAGAATCATTTGTTTAATGTGTTTAGACTCAAGGCTGTATCCAACATAAACCTGTTTACCTGTGCCCTTGAAAGTCTGCCCACTAAAGTGCTCAGAAAAAGCATTTGAAACATAATTCAGCCAACTGTTGGCATTGTCCATACCTGTCCATCAGAAACAACGTTTTAGATCTGACGAGTCTCTAAATTATCATCCTGTTCAAGGTTCTGAAGGAAGATGCATCTGTTCAGTTAGATTATGAGCAGTCATCAACTCTTATTACCTCTGAGACAACTGCTGCTTTCAGTGTCTGATGGTTTCAGTCTGGTTTCTCAGGTTTCCATCAAATATTCAGCAATTATTTACTGAATGGCATGCCATAATATATACTGTACATATGGATAAACACATGGATGACAAGTTTATCATACTACAGGGAGTTTTTAACTGGTTATAACAGTCTTGGTTTAATACTGATGCCTCTATATGAAAATTGTCTGATTTACCTTAAACAGAGTAAAGCAGTGGGTTGGTATATCGGACACAGCTTTGAAGTTGTTTTTCATCGTATTTGTCAAATTGGAGGTTTTTAATTTTGATTTCTTCTCTAGCTCTGATAACATGTGGAGTACCCCAGGGTTCGATTCTAGAACTGTTATTGTGTATTGTTATTATACGCAGACTTGATGTTGCATTTCATTGTTACGCAAATGATACAAATAAAAACAAATATTTCACCCAATGAAGTCCATTAGCCTCTCTGAAGCCTGACTGGATGTCAAATTTCCTACAGTGAAATTCCAAAATTGACATCTTCAAATATTTTATTAAATATTTTAGAGGCTGGAAGGATTAAAAAATTACATGAATTATTAAACAATTGTTGCTGATTAATATTCTGTCGATCCACTCTACGACCAACACATCAATAACCAACAATACAGTTGTTTTACAGAGTGTTTGTTGATATGACTCATTGGACACTTCACTGTTTCTCCACCTGCATTCTGGTACATTTCTAATCAACATCTGCAGCCTGAAGGCCTCCTCCAATAATTGATTAACTCAAACAAAAATGACAAAGAGTTCAACAAAACTCGTAATAGAGTGAGTTACATCAGGAGGTTTTCACACAGAGTTAATGAGGCAAAACATTAAAGAAGTGCTTCTTTAAATGTTTTATAACACTTCGTTCTTCTCTCCTCATAAACACCTCCAACACAACAAATCAACTCCTCCCTCTAATGTGATGACAGTACTGAGACACACGAACGCATCACAGTACTGACTGTTACAGAATCTCGGACTGTGTTTTGTGTTTCTTTACACTGAAACTCTAGTTTTAATGTATGTTCTGTGTGTGGCCGCTGTGTGTGTGTGTGTGTGTGTGTGTGTGTGTGTGTGAGTGTGTGTTTCAGCAGCTTTGCGAGCTTTTGCTGGCACTACAGAGACATCCTTAGTGAAATGGAGAACAAAGAGAGCGGCTCTTAATGAGCTCTGCCACTGCTGAGACCCAAACTAGGCCAGCCAGCAGACCGAGTGTGTGTGTGTGTGTGTGTGTGTGTGTGTGTGTGTGTGTGTGTGTGTGTGTGTGTGTGTGTGTGTGTGCATATGCTGACACACACAGAACATGGTGCAGGACCAGCAGTGGGACCTGTACCAACCAAGGATGTTAGCCAGGTGACTCAAAACACATTCTCTCACTGCAGAGCTGCTGTTTCATGTGATGTTGCTTGTTTGTTCGATTAAAATTCCCACAGCGACAACAACAACAACATCAGCAGCAGCACAGGTTGTTGTTGAAAGAGTCCTCCACAGATTTATCACTGCACAGAACCAGATATCCTCTTTTCTATTCCACACATTCATCTTCCTTGTCAAAACCTGCTGCCTACATTACCCACAATGCAACTCGAGAATATTATCATATATACGTTATTCCATGTCTCTGACAGCTTTATGGAAAGGATCCCTACAAGGATAGACCTTTAGTTTAACCACAAACAGCCGTAATATCACTATCACTCTCCACCAGACTCCAGAGACAAAAACACTAATTTTACCTTCAGATCATCGAAACTTCAAAGTGGACAGAAACAGAATCAAACTCATTAAAACCGTCTCTGTTAGTGTTTCCAACAATCAGCAACTCTGGTTTGGTGGAAATAAATCCTTAATTCACCGACGTAGATGATAAAAACAGCAGTTTCAGTCGGAGCAGACCGGCTATGGGAACAAACCACAGAGAGGCTGCGATACAACACAGGCAGAGGGAGAGAGACACCATGTGACTCTGTGTCTTTATATAGAGAATAGCTGTATGCTGATATATTAATGTTTAAAATCACGTATATAAACCTTTAAATAAGAGAAACAACTGCAAAATATTCCTTCTTTTCTCTTCGTCCCTACTGACACTTGAGGCCAAATTCAAAGAGAAACCCACACAACAATCGATGCAGAGCCCTCTTCGATCTCTGCATATGTGAGGTTCTCACAAAAACACGAAGAAGTTGTTCTGTTTCATCTGCCAGCTCAGAACATGGAGGAGAAATCAACAGGCAGCAGGAGGCTTAATTAACTCTCCACACGGCTCTGTGTTGGCGGCTTACCCTCAGTCAGACCCATGTGGATGCTCCAGTAGTTCTGCAGACACTGCAGCTCCTTCTTCATGGCCCTCTTGCAGCGGCAGTCGTACAGCGGCGAGTCCTGCAGCACCTCCAGCGCCCCCTGGCACTCCTTGGAGGCCAGCATGGCACTCCGCTCCTTGTCCCCGCCAGAGAGGCATTGGCGCATGATCCGGTACCGTGAGCTGCACTGGCTGTTCTGGTTGCACAGTTCAGAGGCTCGGACACAGTCCAGAGGTTCCCTCCACCCGGGGGGGCCCAGCTCCGACTCGCACACACACACATCTGTTGGGGAAACAAACAGCAGTGCGACATTATATTATGTACTTATAATAAAGTCTGATGTTTGTATCTGTGTGTGTGTGTGTGCGCGTGTGCGTGTGTGCATGCATGCGTGCATGCGTGTGTGTGTGTGTTTGTGTGTGTGTTTTAACAGCAAAACTTTAACGTGGAAAACGGTAAAATAAAAACGTGTGAATCAGATCAGCTGATTCATAAAGCTTCAGATTAAAAGAGCATCAGCACTGAAAATGTTTATCAATAAATATTTCATAAATATTTTCATTTTTAAATAAGAAAAAATGCAAAATTCTCTGGTTGCAGTTTCATAAATGTGAATATTTTCTGGGTCCTTTAGTCCTCGATGACAGTACACTAAATATCTTTGGGTTGTGGACTGTCGACATATTGATAATGAATAAACAATCATTAGTTGCAGCCCTGCATAGATAAACAGTTGGTTGGTCCAACACTAACTGTTATAAGATGCCTAGATGCAGCATAAAATCCAACAAAACATCCTTCTATTTATCAGTTTACATCTTGGGTCTCTCTCTTCTGATATGTATCTAGATACATTGGCTACAATACGATGCAGAGACGATGCATTTTAATACGATTCAATCTGGTACAGTTCTTAACTCTTGTTTAATGTAGAGATTTATTTTCCATTCTATATTAAAATAATAATAATAATAATAATAATAATAATTCTATAAAACAATACAGACATTGTTTACCTTCAAATACATATATTTTATAAAATTCCAGGAGGAACACTACAAAATAAAACAGGAAACAACCAAAGGAACCGCAAAACCATAATAGTTTTAATGAATTAGCTAGAGTAGTGAATGGAGATATGGCCTGGTGTGGCACGGTAGCCAGTTGACTAGAGAGTACAGGTTACAGTAATGAAAGACGGCAGTATGGTAGATGACGTCCAGTTTGGAGGCGGACCTGGAGTCGCCATAATCCATTGTCATTTTAGCCAGGGTGGGTAAACGATGCTCCACGTGCATCTGGAGTGTCCACTTGTGATTGGGTCTTTCTTCCCCGCTTTGTATGCAAATAAACACGTTCAGTGGGGAATATAAGTGTTCGACATGTCAACATTTTCTTCATGTTTCCAATGTCAACAGATTATTTTTCCCAGCATATGGCTCCACTCATCTTCCCTTCAATAATTGAATATCTGTCCCTACCGTGGGAGGAGAAACATCCCCACGCAATGACGCTTCCACCTCCAAACTCATCTATTGAATATCTTCTCCACATGAGCTTCCACATGGGGGGTGGTTGTGCAAATTGAGCTGGGGTGGAAATCTTGTGAAGAGCTCCTCTGCGTTGATGGTGAACTCCACTTGTAGAAAAGTACCTCAATGGTGCTTATGGGAACATTTAGGAGCTGAGAAACCCGTCTGCAACCAGTGTTATTGCTATGTTGCTTGAAATGTTGTTGGAAAGCTCTTTATGGGAATGTTTTTTTGCGTAGCAGCTTGGTAACAAACACACTCAGAGGTGGATGATTCTTTCAGAGCCAACATGCACTGACCCAGCTGACTGCAATTAGCACAGGTAGAAGTAATTAGTGCAATCAGCTGGTTTGAGTTTGTGTCTAATACTTTTTTCCTGTGTTGCTCATAACTTTTTTATGGATTGCAGTGTTATAATTTCATTATCTGTGTAGTTTTATTGAATCAATATCAATGTCTAGTCTAAATTTCACATTAATAGTAGCATTGGAAATTTGTTGAATTAAAAAACTTTGACATGTTGAATACTCCCCACTGAGCGTCCTCACTGATAAATGATTCATTGTGGCGTATTTTCCGCCAACGTGTTCATCGTGGCTCCTTGGGTAGTACCAACTTTGCACTCAACACCTCTGTTGTAGAGAATTGGGAAAACAATATTTACGGGTGCAAGCTGAGCAAGCTCAAATGATAGCCAGTTCACAGAGAAACAGGAAGTCATTGTGACTGTAAAAACATGACATGATTAAAATCCTTGAGCAGAGCCGGCGATGTTAAAATCAGCTCCACTGTCTGAATGAGGATTTATTTGCTTTCACAATCGTTTGAGGATGCCGTCTTTAATCTGTACTATAAACATTTACTGTTTTTAGGTGAGAGGATCTGAGACAAACATGGTTCTGCCCATACAAATGTTTTTATCTCTTTGTGCTGTACGTCTCCGTTTCTGTCCAACAGGGACAGAAAATCCTGTTTAGATTTAGGTAGATGCTGACACTAGCGTTAGCTGCTATTGGCTGCTGTAAACATCAATCAATATCTGCGATAAGTTCCTCACTAACTGCCAGTTTTTACAGGAAACATGAGGAAGCAAACAGCTCTCTGCTTCCTGTTTCATGGGGATTTTTTTTGTCAGAGGCTGTTTTGAGTGGTTGTAAATATTTGGAGCTAACTTTGCAATAATGGAGGATATATATATATATATTTAAAGGCTGACTGCAAAAATGGCTCAACTTAAAAAAATGTTGATAATGGAGGAATCATTTTAGTTTTCATCAAAAATGCAGAATAAATGTGAATATGTTTTGGTGTCTTTACTCTGGTACGACAGTAAACTGAAAAATTTGGGGTTTGGACCATTGGTCGAACAAAACAAGACATTTGAAGAATTCCTCTTGGCTGTTAGAATATTACAGAGAGCAATTTCACCATTTTCTGATATTTATAGAGCAAGTGATTACAGCAATTACTTGAGAAAATAATCAGCTCAGGTTGAACCAGTGTGACAATTAATCCACCAGAGTGAAACTGTTCTCTCAAAGGTTCCTCCTCTCTGCTGCAGTCTGTAACGTCGCATATGGAGTAATAATAAACAGGTTTGACTCACAAACAGAAACAATACAACAATATAAAGGCTGTCTGTTAAACCTGAACATGATCCACAGAACTTCTGCTTTCTAGAAACTGATAATTATCTTACAGAACGCACGTTTATTCTACGATTTCATGTCAAAATCACCGCCATGAATAAGGTCTAAAATAAATCACTGTGCGGAGGTCCTACGTTCATTTTCAGCACATTTTATAGAAACAAAGTTCAGTTGTAGGATTCAAACCCATAAAATCAAAATTACAAAGCTGGAGCAGATCAGCTGATCTGGTTCTTCTTCTACCCTCTTTTTGCAGTCAATTTATGTTTAAACCTCCATTTTGTGTTCCTGTTGCTGTTTTGTCCATTTTTTTCTCTTTTTCTACCAACAGGTAACCAAAAGTGGGCGTGTCATATTCTACAGGTCGGTTGTTTGATGGATAGAACCAAAGTTCAAGAACCAGAATTGATTTGGTGGAAAAGGGGCTCCAGTGAGTTTAGAGCGGAAACATTCACCAATATATCGGCTGATACAGTGAATGTTTGAGCTCTGCAGGGATCCTCGGGAGGCTGCTTTCTTAAAGAAATCACTTTATCGATTTCAATAATTTAACATACAGGCGACACTGTCAGTCAATTCTAGAGAAAATAAAGAATAAATAAAGATCAAATAAATAATTAAACATCAGTACTGTGAAAACACTGATATGATACAATACTGATGTGTCAATATCGGCTGATAATATCAACAGATATTTTGATCGGGCTCATGTGATCAATGCTCAGTGTCTCAGATTTAAAGCCACAAAATAAACCAGACTTGACTCAGACTTTTCACAATAAGAGCCTACTTTATAAACCAGCTCTCTGCAGACGACTGGATTCAGGACCAAGGACAGCAGCACTGACCAGAACTGAGACAGCACTGTGGTTACTCTGAGTTAATCAAACACAGTGATTGGCTGTAATCCAGTCCACTCTACATTAAAGCTGCAACTGTTATAATAATCGATTCATTATTTTGAGTCATTTTTTTAAAGACAAATTCTTGATTTCAGCTTCTCAAATGTTGGAATATTTTCTGACAGTAAATTGAATATTTTGGGGGTTTTGGAGAAAACAAGACATTTAACGACGTCACTTTGAGCTTTGGGAAAAATTTTCTGGACCAAACAGCTGAATAAAAAAATAATTGTTATTTGCAGCCCTGCAGTACATAGATTACATACCAGTCTGACTGATCAATAAATCAATCAATCAATCAATATGAATATTAACTCAATCAGTATTTATCTGCTTCACCGATGAAAGACCAGAAACTGAAGTACAGAAAAATGCTGTTCTCCAGTTTGTCCACCAGAGAGCAGCAACGAGTTTATTTTCCAACTGTAAAATATGATCTGCTTATTATCTGCTGATGTAATCAGATTCTTTCAAATCAAATATCGATATCGGCGGTATTACACATCGATACTTCACCAATAATAAATCAATAATATCGACCACGAGACGTTTTTATGCATAACAAGTGAAAATAACCAAAATATTAGCAGTAAAATGTACTTAAAATATGAAAAGTAAAAGTACTCAAGTAACATTTTGAGTAAAGACACATGAATTTTATGGAGGACCGCTGCTGCCAAAATCAAACACACATAAATAACTCCATTGATTAATCAATATGTTATAAAATGCACAAATTTAATTTGTGAAGCAAAAATTACACTAAAGATTAAAACAGATAATAAAACTCTACTGAAGTGAAAACTACACTGTAACGGCTCAAAATATGGAGGAACACAACTGCCAAAGTTAAAAATTAGTTTTATTGTTGTAAACAATAATTAGAATGGAAATACATT